CTAGTGAGAGGTACAGAGAAAAAGCAAAGACATGCCTGCCATTTTGACCCAGAAATTGGATCTAAGAATAGTCCAGTTGAGGAGTCAGTGAGAGAAGCTTCCTGATAAGAAGCTGCTGCTCAGCATGAAACTCTGAGAAGCAGCTGCAGTGACACACAAATGTTTTACAGCAACACTGATACAGTAATAGGCCAATTAAATGCTGATTTAACTGTTTAGTTCGGAGGGAAAAAGTAGGATTATAAATCATAAGACATATAGACAGAAATGCATCTGTAAAACTTCATCTAACATCAAAAAGACCCAACAAATCTTAAACAAGAGACGCAATTGTGTAAAAAGATTTGATTATTGGTGAGACAATGTGTAAATTAATGATTCAGTCAATAAATCTGTGCAGTTTTGCTTCTACTGGAAGTTTAAACACCTTCTCATCTCCTTTGTTGAACAACATTAAATATGACAGCAAGGAAGGTTAATATGACGAGGACAAGAATGATCCACTAAAATACAAAATAAGTTGGAAAAGTTGCTGTCTGGGTAAAGATCATACTGAAATAAACATGAAGTCTGGAATGAAAATTCTTATTTACACTCTCTTTCATATTATCCTTTGGACTTTGATGTTTCTCCTTTTAAATTTTGGCTTTAACCACTACAGTCCTAGTGCTATACGACTATGTAATAAACCTGACGGAGCAAAATGCACCCAGTCAAGAGGAGAACGTTTGTAATAAATGCACTTAAATTAAAAAGATATCACAGATGACTCAAAAATGTAGGAAATGTCAATAACAACAGAGATTTTTTTTTAAATGCAGTGGTTCTCTTTTCAGGACCACTTAAAAGAAATCAAAAATCATGAAAGTAAAAAACTAAGTACAGTCAAATACATGTTTAACACAGTTGTAATGTGATATTTATAAATTGTACATGTGTCACAAAGAAGATGTTTTGTTTTCAAAGTCATTATTAATCAAAGATGGTTTATTCGCCAGATTAAATTGCTATCAGCCCATAAAACAGTTGTGATTGTTTAACCTGCCGTCCCTGTCTCTAGGCTAATTATTGATAACTGGAGCTTTATAATCCATATTTAGAGGAAAATGCAATCATTGCTGTCCTTTGGTGATTCCAGTAAAAAGATTTGATGATTTTCCAGCTAATAGTTAATATTTATTGCTTTCTAATTTTCTTGTGTAAGGTGATGTTTGGTCAATATAAAATATAAAACTATTCTAAAGTTAACCTTTAACTAACTGACTTTTGTTGGAAGGATTTACTGATTTTCTGCGTTGAATTTATCTGAATAAGCAGTGTATAAATGAATATTGTGTGAACAATATTGAATCATCAGGTCTAAACCTGTGATGCTTTATGTTGTCTTGCTTGTAGTATGACCTCAGAGCATTAATGGGGTTTCACAGCAGTTGGACCAACAGCACACCGTACTGTAACACGCAGATGGAACAACCAGCTGAGCCAACAGAGATTCACAGTTTCTGACCTACATTTGCTTGCTGAGAGTCTAAAGGAAAGCAGAGGGAGTAAATGCTGCTGCATTACATCTGATCTTAACACTAATTGGTTATTTTGAGCTTGGTATGACCTAAAGTCTCTCTCCGCCCAGCAACTCCTGTCTCATTGGTTAAAAATGACAACAACAAAAAATAAAAACCTCTAGAGAATGATCAGTGATTGGTGGTTTATTTAAACCTCATCAAACTCAATTAAAACCAGCCTTAGAAGGTGAACCTAGTAATAAATAAGGCATGAAGATTATAAATGGAGACCTAATTGCGGCTTTAATGTACAGTACATCTGGAAAATGTCTATTTTTTCATAATTTTGTTTTTGTTTGCTTTAGTGGTACATTAAATAACTGATTAATCGCTCTAATTAGTCTATTTACCTTTAAAGATGGAACACATTAGGAAAAAAAGCACCATATGAAACATTATTTCTTGGTTCTTTTAGCTCAATCACTTTATGGCTAAAAGCACCGATATACTTTATATATTTGTTTAATCACGCAGGTCTAAAATCTAGTGGCTAAAAGAAAAGATGCATGCATCAAAGGCAGGAAATACTTCTTCCCTTAATCAGCTTCCACCACTGGGTTGATCTCTGATTGTCATCGCTTAGGAGCTGCCCAGTGAATCATGTTGTCTGAGAGTCTAAACATTTTTAACTAAGTATCTCTAAAACCTATAAACGTTTTCCTCTGAGGAATAACATGACAGGTTGAAATATGAGTATTGCAGAGTAAATAATTTAAATCAATTAAGGTATCAAACCAATCAGTTCGATTATTTTACTTATATCAGCTGTTTTGCTCAAATATAAAATGCAGAAAGCAAGAAAAAGATAACCTCAGTGCAGTTTGAATAACTCTGGGTCCGATTTAGTCAACGCATGTTGTCTTTTGGGTCTTTGGGGCAACTTTAAACCTTTTTAAAGCAATAAAAATAACTCTGTGAGGGTTTTTTGATTTCTCCTGAAGCAACCAGGCTCAACATCCACACTGAGTGGTATCTCTCAAAGCAAAATAGATTGAGTCAGTTCTGGTAATAGCTGAAAGCTCTTTTGTACAGATAGCAAATTGCAACAGCAAATAATCGTAAAACATTTCTCATTTGATAAAGAATACACAAGGTAGCAATGGGGTAGAAGAAACGTGGAACCCACATCATTAAAACTCTTGAAAGTAAAACTTTCTTCCCTCCTCTCATCACCTCAGGCAACTCAGTAAGATGATCCTGCAGTGTTTCATGTTGGTCGGTTGAGGCTGCAGCGACAGGATTATAGAGCTCAGTGACTCGGTCTTCCTGCACGAGTGACTTATTTATTGGATATGCCCTATGAGTCAGAACGAGTGATTAATGCAGCTCTGGCTCAGTCTTTGCTGTGTGTGATTGTGGCATGCATCTGAATGGCAAAGTGAACTGCTTTCTTAAGAATCGAGGATTTAACAGCTTCAGACTGAAAAAAAATACCAATTATAGTCTCCACAGTAAATAAAAGGCCTAGTTAAATTTGTTTTTTTTTTTGGCTGCATGTTGGAGTTGTTGCCCCACAGCCATAATTTCTCCATCCCAGCCAGGGGTCTTTCCACCTGTTCTCCCAATTCCTGCCTCGTTTTTCTCTGTTTCCTTCCCAAATTCCACAAACTTGACCGTGACATTTGGTTTTAAATTGCCCTTTAGGGACGAGTCTGTGTGTACATGATAATTTCACCTGTGTGACGCCTTGTGATGGACGTGACATGTCCGTGATGTACCCTGCTTCTCGCTAAGAACTGCTTTATATGGTGGCCAGGGGGTGCAAAAGTGATGCAAATACACAAATCTACAGCACATACAAAAAGTACTGCAAAGACTAAAATTAAAGTAGTAAAAACAAAACAAAAAAAAATCACACAAAAACATTTCTAGGAGAGCAGCAAAGTGCAACGTTTTGCAAAAATGTAATTGATGCTTATAAAAGCAGATGCAACAGAAAAATGCTGAAAAGGAAAAAAAAACAGACCATCGTCAACTCAAATGAGACCAGCCCATAGTGTCATCATTCTATCCTTTCTGGAGTTTTTGGTTCTGTTTAAGTTTTATTTTGAGTTTTTAGTTACACTTTGATTTATGCAATTCTGTGTTTTCCGGGTCATTGGTTTAATTTCCATTTTGCGTCATTCTAGTTGTTTTCTGCTTTTATTTGAGCACTTATGTAATTCTAGTTTACTCTCGGTTGTCCCCTTGTGTCAGTCTCCTTTCCTCTAGTTCCCTTCTAGTTCCTCCTGTTCCCACCTGCTTCCAATCAGTTGAATACTCCATTCATTGTTCTTTTTTAGCGTATATGCTCTTCCTCTGCAGTTAATGTTTTGCTGGATTCTTATCATTCCTCTGGATTATTCCTCCCTCACGTCTCCTTATTTTTGTTTCCTGCGTTTCCTGTTGGTTCCAGATTATAGCTCCTGTATTTTTACTTCTACATTAAAATGTTCAATAAATTATTTCTGCCTTTTCGGGTCTCCATTTGGGTCCTCAACAAGTATCCACTAATCCAGACACGTAGAAATTACAAGGAACTTATATGTACAGACCCGAAAAACTAAAAAAAAAAGCATAAATGGTATGCTGTCTAAGGACAGTTGGAGGGGAAAAAATAAAAGTATAGTTTCCTTTGTATAAATTAAAAAAAATCTCTCTTTGCGTCATGTTTATGGCTTTACTAAGGGTGTGGACCCATATGAGTAGGTGATCGTGTCTCCTGAATGACCTGGAGCATTTCGATTATGCAACACTATTTTGCAGCTTTTCTTTACTTGCTTTTGCTTTCCTTCTTACATTGTTTACGTGTTTCCAACGGGCTTCACATCTGCAGCTTTTTGCAGCTTGTTCCTCTTAATTTTCTATGATTTCAGCATCTCTCTTTTACATTTCATTTACTTTGCCTGTGTTTCCTGTGTTTGTGTGTCATGTTGGGTATGTATGTATTTGCAGGGTAGCTGCATCCCATGGCCACCTCGCTTTAACCCTAAAAAAAGTAACCTAACTATTCAAGTGCATTACATTCAAGTCGCAAAACTATAATTTTTTTTTGTGAAAGTAGTTGCTGAATGTAACTTTAAAGGTTTTAGATTTTAAAAACAGCAGGTAAGTTGGTCTTTGTTGTTTTAATATGGGGGTTTAACCAGAGCAAATGTGGTCCACCAGCAATCTTTTGAGTAAAAAATCTTATTTGGAGATGGATATAATGTATTTTATCTTTTTTTTCTTAGCAGAAATACATTGCTAACTACACATTTATGTCATAACATTATCATGTTTTCCCCATGTCCTAAATGCTTGAGAATGGGAAGAGTTAAATTGTAACCCTGAAACTAGAAGAAAATGGCTTGTATGAAGATAACGCTCAATATCCAACTAATTTTTATGAAAAAGAATGCTTTAATTTTGGATGAAAGGCAAGAGTGAAAAAGAGCCAATTTTCATGGTTAGACTCACCTTGTATCTGGCAGTAAGCTGTTCAGTGGCTTCCTGTCTCTTCCTCAGATCCCCCATCATCTTCTCGTTTTCCCCCAGGAGCTTCTGCTTTTCCCCTGCCAACAGGAATCGATCATCTCTGATGGCCTCATTCTCTTTCTCTAACCTCTGTTCTTCTAGCTTTGCAAACTGTTCTGCTTCCTCTTCCTCAACCTCCTCCTCATCTTCCTCCTCTTCATTCCCATCTCTTTCCCAAGCCTCATCGTCCATCTGCTCCTTTTTCTGTTTGCTCCTCCACCTCCTGTGGTTGAGCTGGGCCCTGAGACGAGCGATCTCCTTCTGGAACTCACGGAGCAGAGCATCTTTGGGGTCCTCGTTGACTCTGGGCTGGTTCTGGATGTTCTTTGCACGGTTGGCATAACGAAGGGTGGTCAGAGTCTCTTCGTAATGCTGGGGGGCAGGACCAAGAGTTGCAACCATGACAGTCTTTGCATTACCACCCAAAGAGTCCTGCAACAGTCGGGTCAGCTTGGAGTCCCTATACGGCACATGGCCACTACGTCCATCTGCTAAAGCTGAGATCACGTTCCCTAGAGCTGATAGAGACAGGTTGATCTTAGCAGCTTCTTTAAGACGGTCTCCCTGGACCCCAGTCTTGGCTTGCCTCTCACTGCCAGCCAGGTCGACCAGGTTTAGGCGTCCAACTCGGATATGCTTCCTCCCATCTGGTCCCGGCTGGCTGCATTCCACTGTGATCAGAAACAAGGCGTGGGACCTGGACGAATGTTCATTCATGTCTGTTGCCCCAACTGCTCGCGCCTGATTACCAACATTCATTACCTCCTCTATCTCCTTGATGCTTTTGCACACGCATGACGTGAGATCTTGAACATACACTCCTGTCTCTGGACTTTCTCTGAGCTCCAGTCCTCTGGTGTTGCCGTGGTTGGGGTCAAGGAGATCACGGATCTCTTCTCTGTAAATCTCTAGGTAGGAGGCTCGCACCAGGTACTGCTTGTCAGATTGTGAGCGGGAGATGTGCGTGAATATGTGGTCAAAAGCATTAGGGATCACACCTTGCTTCTCCGGGTCCAGCCACACCCCCTGCATGGTGTATGTTTTCCCAGTTCCGGTCTGCCCGTAGGCAAAGATGGTGCCATTGAACCCTGCAAGAACCGAATCTATCAACGGCCGGACGCTTTCATCATAGAGGTCTCGCTGTTTAGAGCTTGAGTCGTACACCGCATCAAATGTGAATGTTTTTTGGGGCTCGCTTGGTGGAGCCCGGGGGTTTCTGAGGATCACCTGTCCAAGCCGCAGATCCATTTGCACAATCCCCCCAGCAGGACCAATGGATTCCTCTTTGCGGTTCAACGGACGGCATCGAACTACCACCTTCACTGACTCACTGCTCTTGTTCTTGGACATGACTTCTTTGAAATTAGACAATTTTAAATGAATAAGGCTTTAATATTTTATCCAGATTCTATGACAGCTCTCTTTGAATTGCATATCATAAAAAAATGAAGAATAACATATTCAGCATGGCTTCTTGGTCATGTCACCACACAGAGAAGAAATTGTAGCTAAAAATAGAGATGAAAAAAATTACCATTGCAAATGATGCGACCCCCCCTCGCTCTGATTTCATTTGCTTATTGTCCACGAACTGTCGGTCAATGATTCTCAAGCTTTGCATTGAAGCTCCATTATACGTTCACATTCACACGGCGGAAAGAAAGAAATGTCCAATAACGCCAGGAATGACACAAATCAATTCATACATCTTCCTCCGGTCGTCATGAATCCAGAAATCCTGCAGGAGCGCCACATACCGATGTCTGCATCTTCCAGTCCCCCCGCTGAAAGATGCTCTGAAGCGGATCTGAGAGGAGACGGAGCTTCATTCCTGTGTGAAAAACACACACACACACACCCAGAGACACACTCATTCAACCACCACACCCCACATCACTGCGGAGTCCAGCAGAGGATCATGGGAAATGGAGTTTGCTGCTCAATGACGAAATGATTGTTGTCCAAGGCTGCCACCAAATAGAGCAACACAAAAAGGTATTACAGTCAAAAAAGTAAATTTACTATTTAGCGTATTTATTCCTAGATGTCATTAATGTAAAAAAAAATAATGAAACAAGACAACTTAAAATGATAAATGAACAAACAGGGAGAAACAAGTGGGTTGTAACTAGTTGGATCTACTTAGTTACATTTATATGAGTAACTTTTTGAAAACAAAGTACTTTACCCCACCATACTTTCTAACTTTACTGGGGTAGCCTAATATTCTAATGTACGGAAGGGGATTAGTGCCACTAAAATAAAAAAAAAAGTGAACTGATTTTTAAATCATATCTCAGTATAATTTCTGACTTTTTTCTCAGAATTCTCACTTTAATCTCAGAATTAAAAGAAGAACTGTAAATTTACAGTCATATGTTTATATTACAGTTTTTAAATATATATATATTTAACTGTTTTTCAAGGCTGCACTTTAAAAAAAGAATAAATTGTTCAGAGAGCTGTTTTCAAATGAAATTTCTTTTTGTTTTACACTTGTGTAAATAAAATGGCAAATAAAATCTGTCTAAGTCTAAGAATTCTGACGTTTTTCCCATATTAAACTGAAATAATATTTAAAATCAGTTTTAAAATCACTTTTTTTATTCTTTCAGTGGCCCTGATCCTCTTCCGTACCAATGAGTTATCAGTACTCTTACTTAAATTAAATGTATGGCTATTCTACCCACCACAGGTTGGCTACTTCACTACATGAAAAAAAAACAAAAAAAAAAACACATTTTAAGTAAAACTGCAACACGCGCTCCATTTAATTCCTTTTATTTTTACGTCTACTTGAGTAAAAATATAAGTTAAATCCATGTTAATATTCCAAACTGGTTTCAGGAGATTATACAGAAATGTAAAGGGCTGTGAATTTGTTCAGAAGCATCAAATTAAGTGGTGTCGCCATTTGTGGCCCAATAACGTTGATAAAATTATATTTGAACTTTATTGATCTTTTGACAATAATCAAACTATGGGGTTTTTCCAATGAACTTAATCATCTGAAAGTCTGGGGGATTTTTCAATGGAAAAAAATTATGATGTTAGGGACTCAAGCTTCCCTTTAAATGCTTAAAATCTCCCAGAATATAATTCATATTTGATATAATTTAGACTAAAGTGATTTAAAGGTCGGTTTTGTTTACAGTTTAAAATATTTTGAATAATTGCAAAATTTTAGCAATGTTTGAAAGAAGAGAGTTTTTGTTTCTTATGACAAGTGCACCAGCACATTTTAGGACACCTCGTGGTTGATATGAAAGCTAAAGAGGCTACAATAACAAAATTTAGTGATACTATACCCTAGCCTAAAGATCTTCAAACCAACAGGTACATTTCTACAACAGCGTCTTTGACTCCACATGTGTACATCACAACTAGAATAAGGCTTACTACATTTCTGTAAATAAAAACATATAGCCTATAAAAATTACTTACTTTTAATGAGAAAAAAAGCTCATAAACATCAATAGGTTTTATACAGAGCACCCATATTTTGATATGAGGACTGAAAGTGGACAGAACCTGGAAATCTGAATTTCGGGTTAAGGTTTTATTTAAATAATGTTTAACTAAAGAATCCAATGAGCACTGAGAATATAAACTAAATTAAGGGATTCTGAATTTAAATCAATGATACCATGTCCGTTTTGTGCTTAAAAAGATAGCAGTTAATTTTTTACCTTGACCAAAGACAAACTGAGTTCAGCAAATCATCAAACCTAAAAAAAAGGAATTTTTTGATACTAGTTTATAAAGTGGTTACCTTTGATAAAACAGGTAAATATGCTCATAATTGGATTGATCCGAAAAGGAAAGTCCCTGAAATTTTCTGGTACACAGTAAAAACTCCACCAGAGGAGGGAAATTTTAGCCTCCACCACACCTTTACTGGTGGTTTCTGCTGATGAGTATTTTACAACAACATACTATTACATATTACAACAATAGTTTATATCAACTTGTCTTAAATAAGAACACATAAAAACATAATTAGAGAATGAAAATCATCATAATGGTGTTGAATTTGGCACAACAGCCCCCCCTGGTGAAAGAAATCCAAAATACAATAGTTGACCTACAAATGTTCAAAGTCACCTTTAGAAGGGTTTACAAATGAAGGAGAAATAAATAACTAATTCATCAGCTGATTTTTACGAATTAGGGAGGACAACTTCTGCCACAGAGAATTAATCACAGCTCACAACTGTTTTGATATGAGGTAAGCAAAAGTTAAAAATTACTGTTCCTTTTCATCATGTTGGCTTCATTTACAAACTGGTGCTTTTGGGGAAGTTCAGCCACAAACAATGGAAATAAAACCTGTGTTTAATACAGATACAAGTGGGTCAGAATTATTTGGATGTGAAAAAGTTTATATGATAATATTCTCATAAACATCTAGTTTTGAAATAATATTTAAAGTGAATAATTTTACTTTTTGTTTAATCTAAACTTAGAACCCCATATGCTGCAATTGGAACATGTAATCATACAACAAGCTGTGTTTTCTGGCCTATGATAACAATTATCCAAAGTCATCAGATCTTTATTGGCAGGGTTACAGAAATATGCAGCACTTTGTGTTCATTCAATTGGCTCCAACAGGAAAAAGGTGTCCGAAAGCCTTTTCTTTAAACAATATAGAGTTTAAAGGAAGATAATTAATATGCATAGCACATACTGCTGCTTGGTTACACCCCTATAACCCCAATATTCTTCCAGCTTCTTCACCCACTGAGCTGCTAAAATAAAGACCAAACTCAGTCCAATACTCTTACAAATACTTAATGCTTGCTTGAAAAATAGCTGCATGGAAAGACAGACTTCTTGCTTATTTTGTCCAGAACATGAAGAAAAGTGAGAAGTAGTCACTGACCCACTGTGGGAGTGAGAGATGAAACCTAGGGGCCCCTTGCAGCAAAGAATCCAGGAATGCATCTCGGTCTAAAAAAACAGGAACAAAACATGATTCATTTCTAAGACAAGGTTGTGCAGTTGTGGAGGAAGAGTGATGTGATGTGCAAGGTTTTAGGTAAAACAGGTCTTTCTTTTGCTAAACTAACAACAACAACAACAAAAAATCATCTAAGCTTCTTCAATGCTCTTAATGTATCAGTAGGGATCTTTAAAATGTTACCTCATTAGTCAAACAGTCAGTGCATGTTTGGTCCTTATTTCAAATTTAAACATTTACACATTTACACAACATTTAAGAATAAAAGCATCAGTAATAGGAGCTTTGTGTAAACAAATAAAAAAAAAAAAAACTAATATAAATGTCTGTGTCAGGGTTAGTACTCTTATGTAGCATTTTGAATAGCTTGTGGATAGGAAAGTTATTATTTAAGTACAATACATTTCTTTGGTTTGTTAAAGGAGACAAAATGCCCCAAAACAATATGCACCTTTAATTAAAAGAAGGTGAACAAGTGACATATTTGTTCTTTCTTTATGTGTTCAAAACCAACTGAGTAATGACATGTTAAACCAGGTTTATGAACTCTGGACTCTTAAGTCTTAAAATAGACATAGAGCTGAATGTCATTGGTGTAAAAGTGATAGGAAATGTGAGAAAAGCCTGATGCAAGCTAATAAAAAGTACAAAAGAAATACTAAGGGACCAAGGAATGAACCATGGGGAGCCCTACAGGTTTGAAGAAGCTATTTAAGAAGTAAATAATTTGCCCAAAAAGAGAATTTCTTGTCAAATTTACAGAGGAAAAAAAGTTGATTAACCCCTAAGGGAGAATAAACACACACATAGAAAATAGGCTGTAGAATCCAATCAAAGTGAGAAAGAAATAATATTTTGGATGTTTAACAAAAAAAGCAAGAGACAGATTGACTCTACAGGTTCAACTGTGTGTGGTTAAAAAGTATCGTCTTTCTCTTACATTTTAGCATTTCCGCACATTATTTGTGTTAAATATAGCATCTAAAGCCTTTTTGGCTCAATTTAAAATATTTAAAACTTGCCAACTTTCAGTTTCTTTAGCACTAGAATACATTCTGGCGAATGTTCCTTACTTTTATGTGATTATGGGGGTTTTCACCATACATAATATTTACTTCCTGTTGCTGCTTGCCTTTGCTTGGGAAACCTTTGCTTGGTTCAATGCCAATACAAAGAAAGATAGCTAATATCTCCCACAGGATAAAATCAAAATGTCCCTAGATTTTACTTTCCTAAATACCCCAACACATCATGTTTTCTTTTATAGATCTGTTTATTATCTAGCTTTTAAATCAGCTACACGATACAGCTAGATTTCACCAGCTTACCAACTTTTTTAATTCACTCTTTAGTTTTCTTTTCATTTTCTTCTACAACACAGAGCTTTCTGGATGAACAATAATCTACTTAATCTTGTTTTAGTGTTTCATTTTGCTCTTTTCTTTTTTATGTGCTTCTTCCTTCCTCCATTTGCGTCAAGTCTGTACTTGGGAGTTAGAATCTGGGCATACTAAGCATTCCTAAGAGTGCCTGAGCCAAACTACTCTGACAGGCGGAAGAACAGTCTCTCACCGCCGGACAAATTTAACTCTAAAAACACTTGCAGCAGTGGTGTGTAAGTAGGAATCACATCTTTGCCTTCCAGGTTATCAGTGCACCTTGAAATTTGTCATATTTTATATAGTAAGAACTACAAATAAAATGCATTTTATATAAATGCTATGCAGTGATTAAACTCAAAATATAAAATCATGGTGAAAGAAAGAATACAGGATGTTCCCTCTTTACTATACCGTTAAATAAAACCCAGCATTAATAACTGACTTCAGAGGCCGCAGACATACTGAGACATGGCTATCAACCTAAGCTGACAAGC